GAGGATTTAGTCCATCCAAAAAGTCGCGACAGACATTTGTTTTAGAATCACTTACTTGTAATACAGTGGGACGTAAATTAATTGAATAATTGTTGCCTTTTCTGTCTTCTATCGCACTTTATATAACACACCTGTCTTGCTTCCTCACAGTTTCTTCAAGTATAGGAGCCAAAAAATATATAAAAAATTCAGTGTCCAGTGGGACTCAGACGAACCTTTCTCCTCACATGCTCTCTATTTAAATCCAATTACTGTAACAAAAAAACAAAAACAAAAAAAAAACAGAGAGAGTAATTTTTAAAGCTTGTTATGGCAAATCAAATGTCTACATTTCAATGTTCCTGAATAAGAAAACTTTGTAGGAATATCTGTAATATCAAATTTATGTGGCATGTGTTGCAGGCGCCAAGATTAAAAACGAATCTTAGTAGAGTTTCATCTAAATTGAAGCGTTTTTGTTCAGATGATACCACTCCTCCTTACAAATTAGTCGCAAAATATCCTCTTGATGGTTTGTGTTTGTTGTATCTTCCTGCAAAAACTTCTCATCTTAAACTTGCATTCAAACATCTGTTTTCTCTATGTTATGCAAGGTGTCCTTTCTATGCCAGTACACGTGAACACCTAACCTTATAAACAGGTTAAGCCTTTTAAGTTCTAGAACGAGGCGGTGTATATTGAAGCATTTTTTTTAAATATTAAGTGTAAAAAAGAGCTGTCAGTATGTTATGTTTTGTGGTTTAATAATTTGGGTACAACTATATTATTCTTATTTGAAGTATAGAAAGAGAAATGGTAGATAAATACGAGTTTCAAAATTCTGTGGCTCTTCGATTGAAATCAATACAATCACTATTCATTATTGATGAGACGATCGCAGATTACAAGTAAATACTTGTCTCTAATCATAAAAAAGTCTCTTAGTAACTGCATTTTTTTTCTTTTCATCTTTTTTTGGCAGACATGGAGTTTTGAATTCAGACTTGCAAACACAGCAAAAAAGTTAACGGATGCCAATTATTACAGAATTAGTATCATGTAATATTATGGTTAATACGTGGGTACCATTAATTTAAGGTAGTTTCAATCTCCCAAAGCAATACTTCAGTGAATCAAAGAAATGCCTAACTATCACAAATGGAGAGAACTATTTCGACTTACCTACTTTATATTACTTACTGAGCCAACATGGGATGAAGTTAAGTTTTTCATCTACCACATTAAAAAACGTATTTAAATATTCCCCTTGCGGTAGGTAATATAACTATTGGATTTCCGCTTGGATATCGGCCAAGTAAATAAAATAAAAATGATATTTTAAGGAAATAAATAGATAACAGACAAGCAAAGAGTTATTCTTTTTCCTTAAACAGCATACTAAACACAAACAACGGCAATCAAACAAGTAATTTTACCGTTACTCATTTTCGTTCTCTAATCAAATTCAACTTTTGAGTTGGATTTTCAGAAATTTATATATATTCTTTCGAAATTACAAATATTTAAACCTTATATATTTGTATTTATTACTAAGCTACTAAGACTATTTACTGCCGTCCCTAATTTTGAACTTCTGACCAAATGGAAGGAACCATCCATGCTAAGAAATTAACTGTCATTCTTATAATGCACAAACAACTTAAAAGTAAAGCAAAAATTCTAATTTACCTCGAAGACCAGAACGCAATTCGCCAGCTCCGAAACCCAGAGTTCTGCCTCAGGGACAGGCACGCTCATCTTATTTATAACATTAAATTCTTCATTATCAAGCACAAAATGTTTAATATAATCAGTGCTGAATCCAGACCTTTCCACCGGGAGGGGGAGGGAAATGGAAAATACAGTACTTTAGGGGTGGTTGCACAGGGGGGAAATTTCCTCCCTGTACACCTCCTGAATTCAACACTGAACATGATGACAGGTATCACAAGCACCAGTTTTGTTTTTAATTTTTCTTGTGCGATATGATTGTAATTGGTTCAAAATCGGTCTCTAGATTGTCCACAAAACCTGAAATGATTGCTAGGATAAATCTAAAAATCGCCACCAAGAAATTGTATCGCTAAGAACGATCTTAACTTCTCAGACCTCCGCATTCCTGTACCTCGGGAGTTCCTTTTTTCCCATTTTTAGAGCTCTATATTGAAACATGAAATTAATATTTTATGTTTGGTCTCCATACATATTTTACATTTCTTTCAAGTGTATGACAAGAAGTTATTTCCACAACCAAGTAATAACACACACTGTAAATTTCGCTCGCCAGAAAGAAAGATAGAAATTACGTGCAATGTAAGTAAACAAAAAAGAATGATATAATGAAAAACTCCCACTACTTTTTTTATGACAATATTCATTTAACGTAAAAATGCTTCTTTTTTTGTAAAAGCAATTTTTAAAAATGTATAATTTGGTTCGAATGTCGCGCAAAACTACATGCGATAAACTAGAGGGTTGGCGACTAGTCAACACCACCCACCGCTAACTGTGAAGCTACTCTTTTACCAGCGAATAGTGGGATTGGCAGTTTATAACGCCTCCACGGCTGAAAGGGCGAGCATATTTGGTATGACGGGGGATTCAATAAGGTTCAAGAACTTGACATAAAAGAGGGCACCCGCTACCTGTCTGGCTATTTTTAACCAAATGGTTGGACTGGTTGTCACAGCTGAAGGTGTAGAGCGTGTTCAACAGCATATTGCGGCTCGAACCTTAGACCTTCCAATACGTAGCCAAGCCTAGGCACATTACATAAAGCTACATATGTATATATTCAAAGTTTCAGCTTTTCTACATTCTGTGATAAAAATCACTGCTGGATAATCTTGCTAACTCATTTCACCAGTTTATTACTTAATTTCTATTTCGTTATCTACAAGTTAATGCAAGTTTTTTTTTATTATTAATAAAAAGGAACATTTATTTTCGTAATGAACTTAAGAATCAATATGTGCACATCTCCTTAAGAGTTCTAAATACGAGAAATGATTATTAATTTTTACAATTCCTGCTGTTGTATATAATTTAATTTTCTTTATTTTAAGTACAAGTTTATTGATCGTTGTTGGGTAGCTTCCCATACTACAGTTTTTTTGGCCAATGAAAATGTGTATATTCTTTTCATGCACGTGTACTTCAGAGTATTGTGGCCTATGTTGTTCATTTGCTAATTTTCTACATCCGCTATAACATAGCTATCGTTACAAGTGTTTGTTTGTTTACCTTAGGCATGCACCTTTCTATTCCAGTACAAATGCAAATTACGGACATGCGAAAACAAGAAACGAACGAATTGAGGTTGATTTCTGAAACGAAGAATGCTCTTCCAACTATTTACATTCATTAAAATAAAAATAAACTATTCCAAACATCCACGTTTTAAAGATATTTCGCTTACACGCGCAACATAAAACTGATATAGCTTCACTCCAGTTCTACCATTTTCACAAGCACACGCTAACCGAAGTAACAATATCCTCAGCTGCCTTTCGAGATCGAACCTCCGCATTCTTGTCAACAGCACTTGAAAAGATACGAAGTGCTACGTAAAAAAAATCAACAAACAAGTAAGCAAAGATGAGAAAAAGGTCGTGATTAGAAAAGGAACTGATAAGCCTCGCACTTTACCAAAGACATCTATTTGATGAGAAAAAAGAAAGGAAGAGATTGGAAATGGTTTGGGTGTAGGGTTTATCTGTATTAGATGCATTTTAACTTCCATTCATTAACTCCTTCTGAAACAACTAAATGAAAAGTGTTGAAAGCGGAATGATAAAATGCGAGTTTGTGTGTTCACTTCCTCCAACAGTTTCCCTTACTTGTCAGAAAGCGGAATGATAAAATGCGAGTTTGTGTGTTCACTTCCTCCAACAGTTTCCCTTACTTGTCAGAAAGCGGAATGATAAAATGCGAGTTTGTGTGTTCACTTCCTCCAACAGTTTCCTTTACTTGTCACCATACTTGACCCACCGTATTCACTACTTTGTATACAGGGCCTGTAAATGGAAGGATATAGAGCACTCACAGACAGTAGTCATTATTCCAAACTGCACTTTAATTTAACGATGTATAATTTCAAGGGTGGCAGCCAACGTTTGAGGGAAGTTATGGCATTTTCAATAAATTGATAGAAAAGTTGAAGCTTCAATTTAAATACCCCATCAGAAGATAAGAGAAAAATAAAGATTTATTTGTTCGTTCACTTGAACGGTGCTTTATTCAGGCAATGAGTTAAACGATCAGATCAGAGACCCCTTATGGTTCGGTGGTAGACGTCCCTAATTTTGAACTAAAGGGAAGGCAACTAATAGGCAGCACACGCAACCTGTAGCGGCTACTCTTAGCTGAATAATGGGATTCACTGTCACTTTTTAACATCCCTATAACTGAAAATGTAAAACGTGCTTAACAGCTCCACGTTTCCAACCCAAGACCCTTGGATCACCAGTCCGATATGCTAGCCATAGGTCACGCTCGGGTCAACAAGAAGGGTGTTTGTTTCAACATTGTGCTAATTGGAGTCTGTCCATAGCAGAGAATCGAACACCGGATTTTAGCGTTGTAAGTCTGTAAACTTACCGCTGACCCACTGAGGGACGAACAAGAAGAAAGACGGTTTATCTTATATGTTACTATCACATAAATATTTGTGAGATGAAACAATATGTTAGATTAGAATGGTCACTTAAATATATTACTCACTGTGGCAAGATGTTGTTGTTTTTTTAAATAAAGGCGCATGCTCTCCATTTTCTCTCAATGTATTAAATCTATTAACCCTAGCAGGCAAGGCTGATTTCACACAGTTTAACTGATATGCAAAGTTCTTCTCTATTTTATCAAAAATGCTGTATATCTTAACACATTTACTCAAACAGCTAACCACATTTCCATGATGTACAGAAAAAATTTATCACGCAATTAATGAGGAATCATTGATTTATCCGAATTACTGGGACATATATATATTTCAACTAAAAAGCAAAACTCACAAAACCGACTACCAAGCACAAAAAATACAGTTTATTGATGAAAGACGTGACATGAAAATTCCTTTACAATTAAACAACTTGTTAAAAGCGATAAAACAATACACAAAATAAACAAAAATACTGTGCTTTACAGGAGAAAACATTTTACAACCTCTTTTCCCTTACTACTGCTATTTGATTTGTAGCATCAAACCTGTTTTAGTAACAACCTAAATTTACAGATGGCAGCACACACACGGTTTGTAATGAAATAAAATAGACAATAACCCACCACTTTATCATCATTATAACTTTTTAAAAACCTAATTTAACTGGAAAATTTTGTACACTTTGTAAGAAACGCTAGTTTTGAAGCTCGGGAACGACGGAGTATATAGTCAGTAAAGACAAATAATGAAGGTTAGAAAGCAGCATTTAAAAAAGATGTAATAATAATAGACAGGAAATATTTACTAATAAGCCTTTGTAACAAAAAAAATACAAATTATAATATGTACATAGAAAAACATTTCAAACTAGTCCAAACTTTTTTTTTAATTCTTTGCTATCAACAACAAACTGAATACACAACAGATTTTATTGTTTTTACAATACCAATAACCACAGAGACATCTGCAATAATAACGTATGACCTAAATTACAAAAAAGTAATAATCGTGCGTTAAACTGAGTGTCAAGCAACAAACATAATACCTGTGAGAAAAATAGTTAAAACTTCACCAAACTTACACTGCAATGGCTTCTCCTCAACATTTCATATTCATCAAAAGGAAAATTAAAAAAAAAATTAACACATTTGAGGAATATTACAGTAAATAGACGTCAGCATTATTGTTTCTATGATGCAATGATCAGACTTAAAAAACAACGTGATAAATAATAACGGTCACATAAATGTTTGTTGAAATATCACCTCCGGAAAATCTTTGAAGAACAACGAAGGTACGATGATGAAATACTTATCTTAGTTGGCCCAGCTGCTCCAGCTTCTGTTACCACTGACCTAAGTTAGAACAAAACCCCTATATTAAATACAAACACAATTAAAACAAATGTATACTTCTCCTGTATTTTTTAACTTCCTTTTTATTGTCATGCAGCATTTGTAACCTGATATAACATAACACCATGCAAGGACATTTAGCCAGATTCACACCATATTTGTAAATTTACACAGATCACTCCATATTTGAGTATTTACACAAATGGCACCATACTTGTACACTTACACAAATCACACCAAGTTGTAACCTGAGAAAAGTTCACGCCATGTTTGTACATTTACACAAATCACACCAAGTTCTAACCTGACAAAAGTTCATGCCATGTTTGTACATTTACACAAATCACACCAAGTTCTAACCTGACAAAAGTTCACACCATGTTTGTACATTTACACAAATCACACCAAGTTCTAACCTGATAAAAGTTCACACTGTGTTTGTACATTTACACGAATCACACCAAGTTCTAACCTGACAAAAGTTCACACCATGTTTGTACATTTACACGAATCACACCAAGTTCTAACCTGACAAAAGTTCACACCATGTTTGTACATTTACACGAATCACACCAAGTTCTAACCTGACAAAAGTTCACACAGTGTTTGTACATTTACACAAATCACACCAAGTTCTACCCTGACAAAAGTTCACACTGTGTTTGTACATTTACATTAGTTTCACTATCATGATAGAATTAAAATGTAATACATTTTAAAACAATGGTAGAATAATAGGTAGGCAAACAACAATTTATAAACATAAGGAAAAGTTTTATTATACATACTACACATTTCTACAGAATGTTAGTTCATCTTCTTCTTGTTTGCCAACCTATTATTATATTAGCATAATGTGCTTCCTTAGTCAAGTAAAAAACAGTTAAAACTTAGTATGTTTTTATTTGAAGCATTTCAAATGTAAATTATAAATCAAATGAGTAGGAGTTTAATTGTTGGTGGTTTAAAGACAGATGTATACATTGGTGTAACCATACATGAGCATGTGTGTGTGTGTGTGTGTTTGTAAAAGCAACTTTTTATTTTCAGTCAGATGCTGCTAACCCACAATAAAAGCACGGGAATGTGGCAAAATGTTTCTTTTCTATTGTTTGTACGGGATATTTCAGACCCAAGTTACACGCTCAACTGCCAAACTCCACTCTTAGAGATGGTAAAATTTGAGAAAATACAAAGAACTAACATGTATTCCAAGTAGTGAAACAATTTGAAGGAACCCAAGAAATAAGAAGCATGGTTGAAAGTCGTAATCTATTGACAATTTATTTATAATTTTTTCTGTTCATTATACCTACTTTAACCTAAGTTATCACTTGATCATAAAAAAATTTACCATAAACAAATTATTGACTTATGGATAGACTAAAGACCCCAGTAAATGTTGAGATTAGCCTTGTGGGTTTGTACAAATATACAATCATGGATAGACTAAAGACCCCGGTAAATGTTGAGATTAGCCTTGCGGGTTTGTACAAATATACAATCATACAATCATGGATAGACTAAAGACCCCGGTAAATGTTGAGATTAGCCTTGCGGGTTTGTACAAATATACAATCATACAATCATGGATAGACTAATGACCCCGGTAAATGTTGAGATTAGCCTTGCGGGTTTGTACAAATATACAATCATGGATAGATTAAAGACCCCGGTAAATGTTGAGATTAGCCTTGTGGGTTTGTACAAATATACAATCATAACACTTGAAAACTTAAATAAATCTTTATCCTTAACCACAAAAAACAGTGCCTTTAATTTATTCATGCACGTATCAGGTTCAAACATGAGCTTCTACATTTAAAAAACAAAAAAAAACAGATTTATTATGTAATCAAAATAAAGCATCATACAAATCCAGTCTTTTTAAATCAATCAGACTACAAATGAGTCACTTGCCTTTTTAAATAAAGCTCAACCCTTCTTATCATGGAGTCATAGGTGGCGCAGCTCCAGGGGCCCACCTGACCCAACAACTCGTGAAAGGTCCACTTGTAAGATGTATAAAATTAATACCTTTTGTGCCAAGGAGCCCATATAGCAGTACTCAGTCCTAACACATATAAGCCCACTTTATACACAAAATGAACACTTTTTGAAACAAAGAAGCCTGCCTGAAACCTTCCTACAACTCATGAAAGGATCAGCCCTTTGTTAGTCAATAACTGCAGGCCTCCCTCCCACACACACACACACAGACACCCACCATATTACTACACCAAACAATCAGAAGCATGGTTTTCTATAAATTATATGTCATTTAGTATATTATTTTACTTGTATAACATCAATAGATTTGGGATGGAGGGGGGGGGAGGAGGAAAATATTCTTTCTCCAGTGCTGTCATGAATAGATTCTCAACTGTGCTAAAAAATATTTTCTAAAAAGCTAGGGGTAAGATCTCTAAGTATTGTTTGTTTTAGATCAAAACCACATTTGGCTATCTGCTGTGTCCTCAGATTTTAGTGTTGTAAGTCTGTAAACTTAATGCTGTCCCACAGAGGGGACATCTTTACATATTTGTCTTACCAAGATGTCCAACTTCAAGCAAACTTAAACCAACAGAATAACTTGGAAGATTTTGCTAACTAATACAAACAATTTCAGTGAATGAATTCTACTAATCTATGATACAAGTCTTCATGAATTGAGTACATAAATATATCACTTTAAAAAGTGTGAATTAATGTCCGACATGTCATAAGCTATACAAGTCTTCATGAATTGAGTACATAAATATATCACTTTAAAAAGTGTGAATTAATGTCCAACATGTCATAAGCTATACAAGTCTTCATGAATTGAGTACATAAATATATCACCTTAAAAAGTGTGAATTAATGTCCGAACATGTCATAAGCTATACAAGTCTTCATGAATTGAGTACATAAATATATCACCTTAAAAAGTGTGAATTAATGTCCGACATGTCATAAGCTATACTATAAAATATATATATTCAAGGGACTCCTTAAGTTCAAAGGTGAAGTACAAACAATTTTTATGACAAATGAGAAAGATCCTCCTTATTCAGTACCAAAATGGCATTTTAAATTTGAATTATAAATTTGATTAATATTTAAGAATTTTTACTCAAGATTTAATTTGTGTGGTTTGAAAACTCAGTTTTTTTTATTTGCACCAATTACTTTTCCTTTTTTCTTTGTGAACATCTTTGTAATCACACTACAAACAAAGCTGCATTGTGATTGACTATCATACCAAAGTGAGAAGTTGTTCTTAAAATGTTCTTCGTCTTACTCTATAGACGAAACTGATTCTAAAGTCAAAATAAATCTCACAAAACTATTTTTAACTTAATTGTTGTTTGTAGTTATGAAGCACAAAACTACATAATGAGTTATCTGTGCTGTGTCCTCCATGTGTATCGAAACCTGGTTTTTAGCAATTGTTTTAAAAAAAGAAGAAAAACTTTAAATCTGTTTTTTTTATGGTTAAGAAGTTAAACTGACATATCTCCTTTGCTTTCACTCATACATTCTTAGAATTATGATCTACTTCTCATATTACTGATACCTAAAGTTTGTGTTAAGGTTAGCTGATACAAGTGAATCATCCAGTTTGTCTCCAGCACTAAGGTTAGAAGTTAACTTGTCCATCAGATGTTCGTACGGAGAAGGGTGGAAGTTAGTTTTTCCTCCCAAAGTTGTGGCATTAAGAGGATGTGCAACTGGAGGTCTGAAAAGATAATATATATGTTCATT